CTTGCTAGGAGCTGGTAACACTTTCTTGAAGCTGATAGTGATAGATCCTTCTCAGTTCTCAGCCGCTGTGTCTAGTGTTTGAGTTAGCCATGGCCAGCTCTAGCTTCTGTGAATTTTTGTGTGTGGCTGTAGAGGGGAAAGGCATCAGACTTTCAGAATTATTTCAGAGTTATGATGCTGCCAAATATTTCTGAAATATTAGGAATTTCTCAGTATGAAACAGACAATGAATAGGAATAACCTGTAAGAAAATTCATCAACAGAACCATTTTCCTGAATGTACCCACATATCTGTGTGGGAGAAAATGGAGATGGATGAGTAAAACACAAAACCCACCATACCTTCATTTATTTCTTCTCTTTATTCTCTTTCTGTAGTATGGGGTTTTTTTCTTATAGGGACTTCTTCCTCCTCAATTATGCATTCCTGAGGATAGACCTAAATTTAAATTTGGCAAAGCCAAACAGCTCCAGCTTTAAATAGTCATTTAGTAGCAGATGCTTGTTGTATCTTTTTCTCTTTACTTTTTAAAAATATTTCTGAGAAGCTGATGTGTTTGTATGTATATCATGTGCTGATATGTTATCCATTTAGTTAGTGTGAGCTTTATAGAAAACTTCCAGAACACAAATATACAATTCTTTATTCATAGGGGATTTATCTGACTACTTAGCCATCCATATATGGAATATGCTACAAATATGACTTGTTTTTGCTTGAATCCAGCTCTTTTGAAACACCTATTTGGTTTTTGTTAGATTCAGGTGTTCAGGTTTTACATGTAACTTTTCCATCTCCTCTCTGACAAGATTTAATTTTGTAGTCCTGATGTGGCTGCTGCCTTCAATGGGAGTTTGGCTTCAGTTAAGATTTCAAACAGGCCCTTATTGTGAAATGAAGGAAAGCTCTGGTGATTGGACTCTCTTGTAGAAAGACTTCTTTGCGTGTTCATCTATTTGTACGGTACTTGCCTTTACCTATGGCACCTGACATCAGTAGGAACAGAACTGTTGACCAGAAAGGATGGATAGCAGAAATGCCATCATTCAGTCACCATTCTTAATGATTCTGGAATGCATTTCCCACTGTTTGCCAGAGGACAATGCTGGCATCCTTCCAAGTAAGGTTTAAGGTTTTATCTTCTTGTAACTTACTCTGTTTTGCCTTTTATTTTGGTTAGTATTAGGGCACAGTGCAAGGCTTTTGTTTAATTGTGGCCTTTTGTTTAATTAGGGCTCCTGCAATTTGTCTGCAAAATTCTTGTCCCAGAAATTTTGCATATAGTCCGGCTGTAGGTTTGGTCCATCATTGCTCATGATTATATGTAGAGTATACATTTATAAACATGTATGGTATATCGGAGTGGATTTTGGTGGTTGTTCAGTTGTTTTTGTTCCTGCTGTTGGATATCTATAGCTAATTGGAAGTTTTTACTAATTTCAAAAGTCCATAGAAACCCTTGAATGTGCACATAAGGAATTAAAATGATTATCAGGGGCTTGATAGCTCAAAACAAGGAAGTGTTCAATATTTCTATGTGTTTGTCTTTAACAATACTTTCCACTTCTCTAGTACCTTGCATCTCTAGTGCCAGATCGGAGAATCTTGATGTGTTCTATAGATATTTAGTGTGTATTGCTTTGGGGTGGAGCATGGCAAGAGCCATTGAATCAAACTTTAAACCTTGTATATAATGTAAACCATTCAAGCCAGAGGGTGTTGCAGCTCCCTCCCCTCACCCTTCCCCCACTTCTAGATCCAGCACCTATGCAGGTATTCATTGATTTAAACTTCATAGTCCCTTGGATCCTGGAAGGAATAACTAAGGGCCTGCTCTTGTTCCTATTAAAACCGGTGGCAAAAATATCATTGATTTCAATAGGAGTAAGTATGAGCCCTAAAAGCCTCAATTCTTGCAATGAACTTTTAGTAGCCAGGCCCCTGCTATGAAATCAG